GAAGCTGTATTTAAATACAGTTTTAAAGAGATTTATACCACAATACCGAACACGGGCTGGTAATTGCTGTTTTATGATTACAGTTGAAAATGTTCTGGAATATGAACTTTTTAGGTTCGAAGCAAAAAATTCCTTTTTGTCTTATCTTGAATCAGCACCATTTTCCTCGATCAATATACGATGCATTGACTGTATTAATCAACAATTGGACGATGGAAGAGTGGACCCAACCTAGACACCATGTTTATGGCGCGAAATTGTCGCGGCTGCAAACTCTCTTCGCCCGTGCAAACAAACAAACAACAAAAATGACACAGTTCTGAAGAAAAACAAAAGCCTTTTTTTTTTGTTAAAAAATATTTTTATCCCTACCTTTGTCAATTTCATACAGTTTAGACCACAAACTTGTTCAAAAGGTACGTGTCATTCTTTTCTTTGTGTGCATTTGCTCTTCAAACTTCATAGTTGTTTTGCTAGGTTAAAGCTTACTAAAACCAACTCTGAACAGGCGCTTTAGTGTATGTCGTGCCGGGTGCTTGGGAGCTTTTCGATCTGATCGTTAAATCTGGTTCTTATACTATAGAACACCTTTCTATTTCACCGTAGAGTTTTCATTAGATCAGGCCCTTCAACTTTGTTTTTTCCAACAGTTACACTTGACTTAGGTAATGAAATAATACAAGACTTATATTTATATTTTATTCATGGGCAATGTTTAATCAAGGTCTTCAATAAAAATGTCCGGCACCACGCGTTATGGGCATATCACTGAACCAAGTACATAGGCTTATCTGAATAGGATTCAGTGTAGTTTATCAAACAAAACGAAACCATATCATGTAGAAATATCATCGATTTCTAGAAAGGATATCAAGAGGGAAAATAACTCTTTTTTGTTGCTATCAGGAACCTAGAACCACCTAGCACACATCGTTTAAGGGATAAGATTCAGTGACTTTCATTTAAAAAGGACGAGGTTGAGGAGGCATGCATTGAAAGATTACACGCGAGTAAATGAAAACCTCGTTATTCAGACTGCGCCACTGTAATTTGCATGGCATGTTCTATCACGAGTTGTATTATTGTCGATTTTTCTCACAAATGGTTTGATATGAAGTCTTGGTTTGCAACCACGTGATAAGTCGACAATGTTGGGGGTCAATAGAATTTTTTTTCTCGGTGAATTTACATTACAGTAGAGTTTTAATTAGTTCGCAGAAGAGAGAAATGCTCTTGCTTTTGACCACTAACATGGCCGCCGTGACGTCACGTGCAAACCATCAGCGCCATCAGCTGAGAATAAACAAGGCAGCAAACTCCTCCCGGACCCCTACCCGACAGAGTAACTTTTGTCATAGTAATAATTATTTACTCTTCATCCCCCCGTTTTTGGCTCCCAGATGTTGAGAGCCACGTACCAGCCGCAACCAAGGACCAGGGTTCTTTCGCGAAACAAGAGAGACAACCCTGGGAACGAGGTTGGTCAACCAGCAATTGCAATAGAGAGTCGATACATGTAACACCGTTAGTTGATTTCAGAATTAGTTGATACATCTATGCATCTGCCTCGTACCCAGACGTCTCTCTCTCTCGATGAAAACGTGCGCGCAAAGGAAGGCGGGAGGGAGACAACGGGCGAGACGTTACGGCGAGACGGCGTTTCGCTTGTTTCTTCGCTTGCCGTCAGTACCCCTCCTATGGTCCCTTGCAATTCATCACCAGTCTCTCGCGTTTCGAGCTCGCCTCTACCATGCGAAAAACCAAGCTCCTGAGGAGGGGCCGTGTATGGATAATAAAAGTATGGGATTCAGTACGAAAATCTTACTGAATTAAACATCTCTGACATCTTTTCTCCGAAATAAATTATTTCCAGTGTTAATCGTGTTTAATAGTTTAAGCAAAATACTGATATTCTTTCCAGAATATTTGATTCAAATGCTAATTCATTTCACTTTGGTGAGATTTTCTCGTGCTGGATGTTATTCGTTGAAGGCGGGCTATAGGCAGAACTATGCTACTGTTTTCGATCTCACGCTTTTTTTCTGTACCTCTCTAGGGAATAGTAAAAGGCTAGTATGAATACAGCGACGAGGCATTTTGAAACTAGTATAGCACGCGGTGAGATTGGAGAAAGGTCTAATGAACGTTCAGAGTTTGTGGACAACTGCGAAAGTAAACCGTATGGTGTACACGTCTTATATCTACTTGGATATTAGTCAAACTTAGAGTGGAAGCGGATTATTTTACTTCTGCTAGCAGTAAGGCCAGCAAATACATTTACATTTACCGCGTACAGCCCACCACTCACATTTTACCTACGAGCATTCCAGTTCCAAGTTCACTTTGGTAAGTTTAATCTTATTACTATTTCATGTTGGGGCAGAAAAGTTGCCTTTGCAAAAGTATCATAAGATATATGTGTTATCGGTTTTTTAAGTCTTGCGCTGTTGTTCTAGATAAAATAATGAAATAGTTCGCGTTAATAGTTATATTGTGACGTAGCCGGCGCCACAGAAAAGAAAGGCGATGCTTTAAAACTGTTTACAACAAATTTTTGTTTGTGACATTTGTACGGAGTCAAGCCTGAGGAATTCAAATCCCATGGATAACAATTTTTCGGTTCTGTGCCCAGAGATCATGGGAAACTATCCGTAACAATTATTTGGTTCCATGAAAATTCATGGGAACCCACTTTTATTGCTTTTAATGTAAAGAAACAGTTTTCTGGAAGCATGTTGTTAAACATACTTTTTAAATTAAAGAACATCACTGTGTACTATTATTTACAAAAAAACTTCAGTGTCTATTAAAATGTCAGAAGAAGGTGAATTTAAGTGTTAATTGTGCGTGCACTAAAGTGTCAAAACCCGAATCCAGACTCCTCATCGATCCGTATACTCGCTTGAAATGTTCGCTACAGATCTTGTCTTTCCATAAACGGGCCTCATCATCAATTTCAATAGTGAAATTGTCACTAAAAGACTACATTCTAATTGTTTTTTAAACTTTTGGAGTCATATTTTTTTCTCGGCACTCGAAGCAATAACAATCGCTGATGTTAACTGTAAAACATCTTTCATGCGTAAGTCATCAGTACCGTGCAATGCACCTTGGGAACGACTAAGATGGTGGATGATAGAAAAACGGTAACGTTTGTTTTAAATTCGTTTATACACAAGCTGAGTCATAAAAAATGGCTGTACTAGTTAAGAAACCGAGTGGAAAAATACATTTTTTTTTTATCCCTCAGTCTGAAAATATCAGGACATGTCCATCGAAAACTATTTTCCGGTTCCGTTATTTTAAGATCACGGTAACGACACAGCACCCGAAACGCCTTCGTTCGTTCCCGTAAAATTCCAGGGCTTGGGAGTGATTAGCCCGCTACGAATATAGCCGTCTCGCTTCGCTCTCACTTGAGACCCCGCAAAACACGCGACACTCATCGCCCTTCACCAGTTCGCAAAAACTCGTAAATTGTTACCGTGACGTCATTGTTTACATTAACTCATTGGCACACGAGTTAACCCATAGAGGATGTTGTCGTATATACAAAGAAGGTTAAGAAATTAAAGACTTTTTTAGCGCTTTCTACTAATGACGTCACAAATTTCTGGTCCCTGCTGTGACTCAGACATTAAACCTGACCAGTGTAAGAGTTTAGTATGGGAAAGTCACGTTCGGTAACAAATTTTCGTCGTCTTTGAAGATGTTTATCGTTAAGCGAAACAAAATCCACCTTGGTTTCGATAATAAATATCCTGAAAATAATCAACTCGTGCCAAGACAGCGTTAAACGTGGAAAAAACTGTACAGATGAGTGGTTTTATTTCTTATGCGGCGTCATATTTGCTGTGGGTAAAATTATGTTAAAATGTGTGGAGAACAGGGCTTCATAGCTATGCGTGAAACGCTGCATTTGGTTAAATTTATAGGCAAAGGTTGCTCAATTTTTTTTCGAGTGCTTATGTTACGCTATAGTACTACGGGATATAAAGTAGTAAAGTATTCGTCGCGGATTCATATGGTCTACCTGGCCGCACAACAACAGAACAAACTTATACAATTTCCGGTTTGTGCTAATGTTGGTGTGCTTTTCACCGTAGATATTCTGTCACAGGCCTGCGAGAAGCACATCCCAACTCGATTTTCTCTTTAACAATTTCGGTTTTGAGTATTACACAGCCAATAATGTTATGTCATGTTTCAGTGCATAGCGGTGCTTTCTGCCTAAGACCCCTTAGACACAGAGCTAGGGATCCGATTTCAGTAGCCTTCTTTGATCGAGTCGCTTTATTTTCTGATTTTAACCATTTATTTGAGTTACTGGACCAGGTTTTGCTCCCAATAGCAGTAGGGCCTTTTATATATTGGAATTATGCTCAAAAAACATTTTAAAAACGCTAACTGCGAATTTTATGAACAGTTTTCATGTCGGAAACGTATGTTTCCCATACAAAGCCTTGGAGTAGAATGCAAAGTTTGTCTGAGTCACGCGGGGGGTCTAAGGTGACAAAACCTATTTTTAGTAATAGTATAAAGCGCTATATATGCAGTTCGTGCAAGTTTCAGCTCTTCGGAATCAGTAACAAAGAAAATAGCTGCTATTAAAAACTGCAAAATTACTGGGTGGCAAAACGTTTTTTAAGAGCCCATACATTGTGTAACTGCGCATTATACCAGCATTAGTAGGTGACTTTTTTTTTGAGAAGTGGGGGGGGACGAACATTCGAAAGGGGCTGGACCTCGGGGCTAAGCCTCCCCTCTTAAACATATTTTGTCCAGTACCCCCTCCCCGGGCAGTATATTTTAATGTGGATCGCGAATTTCTTGGACGTAATGCAGATGGAGGAACGCGCGGAATCAATGTCTCAGGAGCCTATAACCTGATGTTTTCCTTGACTCCTGTACCGGCAGAACTTACTTGTTTTATTATTTTTTTTTCTAAAAAACTCGTCTCATTACCACCCCTCCCCCGCGTCTTGCTCTCAAGCTGAGACATGCGCAAGTCAGGAGTCTTTCAGCCAACTTCAACTTCCGGCTCTTTTATGTTTCCCAGGTTTGGCCGTGAAAAGAATTGCCGAGATGCCATCACTCAGAGGCCATTTTACCAGTCTTTGCAAAGGTTTCAAGATAAAGGTAAGAGCGAAGCAAAGAAAATAGCGACTCTTAATATTAAGACACAGTTCTTTATATGCCGATGAATAAACTTGAGGTGTCCGGTGGCTAAGATTTCATGTTGCTGGTACGCATAATTACAACAAGTAACAGTCACATGTACCGGCCACGTTGTTTCGCTATCGTGTACATAATTCATTTGATCTAAATCCTCAAAATTAGTTAAATTAGTTTAAACCAACTAATTTTTTGTTGTTGTAAGGGGCCGTCGACACATTCACTTTTCCCCCGCTTAATGTCCACGAGACCTCGTCAGTGGGGGACATTTTGGACAAACGTTCATAAAATAATTTTACGTTATGTGTGGAAAGGAGCTTGTGACATTATTCAAGAGAAAGAAGGACCAATTGTACATTTTTTTTTCATTGTGATCTTGTATACTCCTAAATCACCAATAAATCTATACAATACTAAATCAGCGTTCTTAGGATTTCAATGAGTTGCATTAAGAAAGAACTACGTGTGGACTGAATGGATGAAAAAAAAAAAATGGAATATCTCGTGAAGACTGCTGGTGGGGTGGTTGCTGAAGTCAAAAATAGAATGTTTTAAGCTAAAGCTGGTCTCATGGGTGTTGCTTGCAAATATCGTCATGTTCAGATTATTCACTTCATCATTATTACTTGCTGTCGACGACTATCAATTTATTCTTGGTGTTCACATGACGTCACCAAAATTCAAACTAAGAAACTATTTCGTCTTCTGAGTTTCTACATTCATCTGGTGTTAGGGCACCTTAAAACCTTTACACAATCAAGTTTTCGGTTCAAAAGGGTTCTTTGTTTTGCTATACAGGATGCTTGAATTTCCAGGCTTTAGCGCGACGCGGCATTTAGCTGACAGCCAGGAAAGCTGTTACGTGGGTTAAAAACATTACTGATTTGGGAGATTTTGCTATAAACAATAAATATTTCTTTAATTGTTATGAGTTCTTCAAGCGAGGAATTCAGGCGTAAGTAGGACCACTCAAAAACAGATGTTTTTGTTGGTTTCCGGCAGCCTTATTTCTGCCCCTGAAAGGGACACAAACATGGTATCTCCATACAACGCTTTATAGATTTGGGTAAAACGTTTTTCCGAGAATCTCGCATATGAAATATTGCACAGACCTGATTCGTGGCAAGCTTTTTCTATATTTTTCTTCTTTCATTTTCCAGATTCTAGACTTTCCGTAGTAAAAGGTTTCCATTTTTGTTTTTGATGGTGGGACAGTGAAAACCACCAACTGTTTGATTTTGATTTTGTTAGATTTTGTTACTTGATAATAATCAATATATTTTTTTTTCTGACTTCGATTTCTTTCAACTCCGATATCAATCGGTGGATTAAATCAATTGATACTGATGGTATCAATTGGTATCAATTGGGCTACATTTTATTTACATGTAAATGACTCTTAATGGCTAGCACATTCTAGCTACAGCTTCAGCTTCTTTGCAATAGTACCCTAGCTGAAGTCAGGTTCTTGCATTTTTGCAGAATACTCTACGACTATGTGCCTTAATTGGGGAAGCCAGTGTTGTGTCATTGATGATGGTGGATCTTTCATGCACTACAGAAGCCAGTGCTTCCACGTAAGATAAGGACAATCAAAAAAATTTAGGTAAGATCAACATGTATTATTTTTAATCAGTGTTCTCCCAGGGATTATGGGAAGGCCACCAGTGTAGCCTGAATAAAATTATTCAATGTTTTTGCTGTACAACTTGGTTTTCCGTTAGCATAGGTAACTGCATTCTCTTGTCAGTTTTCTCAGTGATTTTGCCAGACTTGGAATACCTTATATAAGTTCTAGATCTCAACATAAGCTTTGGATTAATTAGATAATTATCTATTCTTATTATTTCCATTGAATTGAGCAAACGTGGCCAGTGCCAAACCTTTAATAGATGGGGAGAACAGTACATGTATTAATTTATTATGTTCATGTACATGTATGTAGCTTGACTCTGTGAGGCCAAGGCTTCACAGTCTTCCTAACCTAATTTTAAATGAACCACTTGTATTTTACATAATTGCTGATTGACACGAATTGTTTGTAAATTTTACATTTTTTTACATTTTCCCTGTGCGACTGAAAGAGAAAGCCCATTGACTTGACTGGTGTTCTCTTTGAGTGTTTGTCAATCCTTGGACCAATGAGCTCAGAATTTGTGCTTTTGGATGATCAAAACTAATTCTCTTTCCTCTTTAATATATTAGACCTATGACTAAAAAGACAACAGATAAATTTTTAAAAGGTTTGACAATTTTTTCTCATTAACCAAAATCAGTTGTTCAACATTTTCCATTTCACATGTGTTAGGATTTTCCCAGCAAACATGAAAAATGTAAGAAGAATAATAACAGTATGATCTTAGGGTATGAAAATGTAAGTCAAGAGACATAAAAATACAAACAAAAAGTAATTATAAAGTGTGTGTAAAACGAGTTTATACTTACAAGAAGAAAGACTGTGTAACATTAGTAACAACAGATTGCTGTTGGTTTAAAAAATTACTATACATTTAAAAGAAACAAACAATAACTTCATACAGTTTGTACATTGTATTACCCCATGAAATTTATTGTTATTTTATTTAATGTCTTTTGTTTCCATTTATATTCATTGCAATGGATAATTGTTCCACACATTTTGAGACCATGCCAAAATGGGGTCATTTTACAATATATTTGAGATGTGTCCACTTTGACCTGCTAAATCTTTTCTAATATATTAAGGGCCTTGAAATTGACATTAACTGGCATTTAGGCAGTTGTTTTGCCGGCCTGGGTGACAACCCCTTGTTTATCAGTCGCTTCTCCAATTGTTCTGTTCTAATCGCCACTGCCTTCTCGTCATTGTGCCACATTGGCTTTATAAAATTAAGCACCTAGAGATATAGATAGGAAATATAATAAATAGATAATAATGCAAATGAGCAACTAATTATATGCACAGAAATAAGTCTGTTTTTATGTCATGTATCCATCAGATTATTTTGGACAGTTTTTATTCGCTCATTCCCAATATAAATTTAAAACAATTGAACTTGCATCTCATGTTTACTGTTCGCTGTAAATGTTAATATTACCACAAAAAATTAATATTACTATTAGTAAACGAATAATGACTAGTAGACAATATTACCACATAAAATTAATATTACTACCCAAAATGGAATAGTAAAGGAATAATGACTAGTAGACAATATTACTACCAAAAATGGAATAGTAAAGGAATAATAACTAGTAGACAATTTTACCAATCACTTTTTGGTCTCTCTCTTCCCTTGCTTTCTTGCCACCAGTTGCTGTCTTCACTTTGTCATTACCCACACAGTTGAGATGGTTTAACGGTCTTGCATTTACAAGCTTAAGTCAAAATTGCACAACCTTGTGCATTTTCCAAGTACATTTTAGGTCTGTACGTTTCCTGTTTCTTCTTTGTTTCTGTCCAAAATATCTTAACATTAAAATAATTTTCCACACGGCTATGTTATGCTGTGGTATAATTTATAAGAAACACCGAACAATTTGAAGCCGGCATGTTCGTTGTTTAAACTGGGATGCTTACAGGTGTGAAAAGCATCACGGCAGAAACCGTACTACAAAAAATTAAATGGTAAAGGAATAATAAGTAGTTAAATATACTACTACCAATAATTAATATTACTGCCAAAAATGGAATAATAACTATTATTCTTTCTTCAGGTTTTTTGAAAGGTGTTAAATATATCGGTCGGTTTCTATGGTGAGTTTGTGGTTGCTTATTATAATCGTAATTTTGTTAATGTCTTTCTGTGGCGGGTATTGGTGATCTGGCGGAGGTAATCGAGGATGATGGTCCTTAATTCCTATTTTAATGGTGGTCCTTGTTATTAGTAGTCTATGAAGATGACTTGTTATTCAGCAATGTCGAGTTACTGTACTGGATATTGTCAATGTTTCATTCTTGTTGTGATTTCTTGTATCCTTATGAAGCAAGTGACATACCCAGCTTGGAAGTTACCACTGACTTACATTGGCATCATTGAGGTAAATTGTATAAATATCTCTTGTGACTTCCTGCCCTTGACTACCTGTTCCAAACTACTTCCTTCCTTCCTTCCTTTACTCTAAAAGCCTTTCATTTCTGATTGGTGACATTTTGGGGTTAGTAATTAAATGACCTCTGTGGAGAGAGAATTGCAAGATTGATTAAAGAAAACTTAAAAACTTGTTACTCACAAAATGAATTCAGCATCAACTTGGCTAGGGACCGTAGCCCAGGGTTCTTTTTGATGTTGTTATAGTCCAGTGTGATACCCTCTTTTGTTTGATAGTCTTGAATGTACTGCTGCTTCTTCTCTTCCGCATCACACCAATCTGGTCATCCACTTGCCTCTTGCTTAATTTTTAGGAAGGTATCGATGTACCCTTTAAACAGAGTAGATGGTTTTTGGGAAAAATCCATACCTCCACCATTTGAATCATTCGATACCCTAGTTGCAATGCCTTGTGAATTTGAATCGAACACCAGGTGCCAGATAACATTCATTCTTCCTCACTGTGTTGACAAGGTGTTTGCTGTAAGTTTTCAGCACAGGTCCTGTATAAGGGAAACATCAATTTTCCTTGAGTACGCTAAGGTAGAAGAGGATGAAACAGTTAGGAGGGTGGCAAGAAGTCACCCTTGATCATACCAAAGAATTCAGCGGGTGAACGGTCGACGAGGGCTTCACTAGTGAGAATTTGTGGATGACTACTTAGGACTTCACAATATTTTTTTGTCCACGGATACTTACAGGAACTAATATACGTAGAATACTTTAAATACATTAACTGAACCTATTCTATTTACACCTAAAAGAAGCTGGTTTTTATTTACGCAAGTATATTATTTACCAGTATCATGGAAGGAAGAAAGTATATCCAGGCAACTCCTTTGAGAGAGCTCCTTCGTTTGTGCTGACCACGTGACCTCATAAGTTGACATTCATACATTGTATATATTCTTGTCACCTTTTTAATACTGTGCCATACTCTGTCCACTAGCAACGGCCATTTTCCTCCATCGGTGAGCCATTTTTCCAATTTTTGTGCTCGGAAAAAAACAATCTTTTCTTCATTTTGCCACATGGGCTTAATGCTGTGGTGGACTTTATCAGCTGGCAATGGCGATTTTCCTTTCTGTCTCAACCGCTTTTCCAACTTTTCTGATCGAAAAAACAAAAGTTTTTCTTCGTTGCGCCACATGGGCTTAATGAAATTACGGACCCAGGGATATAGATAAGAAATAAAATAAATAGATAATAATGGAAATGAACCAACATGGCAATGAAATAGGAAAGGAATAATAACTAGTAGAGAATATTTCTACCAAAAATTAATATTACAGCCATAAATGGAATAGTGAAGAAAAAATGACTCATAGATAATATTACCACCAAAATTAATAATAGTAAAAGAGGTCGTTACTGGGATTTAAAATTTGACTATCAAAAAATATGAAATGATAGTTGTACTCTCTACTGTCCTCGGCCTAGTCTTCTGACTTTTTGGCACATACTTATTTCTAACCTTGTCCCCAGGGTGCTTTTCCCTGGCTTACCCCCCATCAATTTTAAGTGCCCGAAGTCGCTGGTTATTTCAGTATTTATGTCCCACACAACAAAACCTCAAATATGCTATTGTTTTCAACTCCATAACAAAATTTTGTCATAGCAAAAAAGGTTAGAAGACAATAGTCACGTGACTGATGACGTCATTCATTCTTCTTACTAAATAAGCCCTCATCTCTTTTAAACCCCCTCCCCTTCCCTGTATAAATGATACTGTATTAATCAATCAAGCGTTAGCGTCAGAAGTTTATTGCGACTGTAAAACTTCCTGTGGACGGATGTTTTTTTCCTTGGCTGCATGACCTCCAACTTCTTGTACCTTGCTTTCTAGCTCATTATGGAGAACTGATACCTTCTTCTTTGGTAAATTAAGCCCACCCCCACTCAAATAAAAGCCTCCCGTCTCTGTTAAACCTGCCCCCCTTCAAAAGTGTTTAAAATACATAAGCCCCCCAAGTGAGGATTACGGTAAATAGATATCAAATAAATACAAATTAGAACCAATTACCTTCTTCTCCTCATTACGCCACATGGTCTTAATGAAATTAAGCACCTAGGGATATAGATAAGAGATATAATGAATAGATAATAATGCAAATGAACCAACATGGCAAATGGCGCCATTTTGCTCTTTGCCATACTTAATACAGGGAAAACACCAAAAAACTAAAAAGAACTAGCTTCAGCCACCACAAATAGGTATGAGCCCATACGCTGCTAAATAACAACTCAGATATTGAAGAAAATTGGTTTAGAAAAGGAACTGCTTTGAAAGAGCTACTTCGTTGGTGCCGACCACATGACCTCATAAGTTCTCATTGCTATATATTCTTGTCACCTACCCAGGTTGAATTTTTTAATGTTTTTTCTAACTTGTTTTGCCGGCATGGGCGACAACCCCTTGTTTACTAGTCGCTTCTCCAGCTGCTCGGTCCTTATAGCCACTGCCTTTTCTTCATTCCTCCACATCGGCTTTATAAAATTAAGCACCTAGAGATATA